TGCCTTCAAACACATTATTATTTGCCTTCGTAAAACCGCGTAATGTTCTGTAGATCCTTACAATAACTCGATATATCGTCTGTGATCGAGTTGAAATGTATGGCCCTATTTCGTTAATAAAACGTTTTTGTTACGTTTATTACAAAAGTCGTGGGATGTTCAGAGTATCGATCACTGCGTGGGAAAACTTCTTCCCTTAGATCTGTGCGCGCATGCATGTGAGTGCATTTTCAGAATGTAATTGCTGGTTTACATACTGTAGTATCAAACTTGTCTTAATAATTGTCTCATGGCTGCTTTCAGCTTGAAAGTGAAGGCACTAGTGTGATTACCAAATGCAGGTAAACTGTATTGGACACTAGTAGTACATTAAATACGCTTTTTTGATGTGGACTAAGTATAAAAGTAAACCAATTCAGAGTTTTTTCAGCTGTTCTTTCCTTGACAAAGCCCTGCTCTGCCCCTCTGTCTTTATCTGACTATGACTGTGAAAACTGTTGCCACCTAGTCTAACATTGTCACAGACTGCATTCCCCACTGCACCACACTAGCCCTGATCAAATAATGTGTGTGTGGGTGTGTGATAAACTACTGTTGCCTCTCTGCTGTAGCCTACCCCCTGCTGTCTCTGCCTAGCATGCAATAACAGAACATTGCCAGGAAGCCAAACTGTCCTGACTCCTGCCGCCCCAACAACACAACACTACTGACCACACACACACACACACACACACACACACACACACACACACACACACACACACACACACACACACACAGAGAGAGAGAGAGAGAGAGACAGAGGGACAAAGATGGCTTTTATTTTGAGTCTGAAAGGGCAAAGTTGACCCAGACCTGCCAATTGCTTTTACATTTTTTCCCTTTTGACTTCTGAAATTCTTAACAGGCAAATGAGAATTTTCCCTTTCAGGTAAGTGTTTATTTAAGAAAGCTCAGACTTGCCTCCCGAGTGGCGCCATGGTCTAAGGCACTGCATCACAGTGCTTGAGGCGTCACTACAGACCCGGGTTCAATCCCAGGCTGTGTCACAGCCGGCCGTGACTGGGAGACCCATGAGGCAGCGCACAATTGGCCCAGCGTCGTCTGGGTTAGGGGAGGATTTGGCCAGCCGGGATTTCCTTGTCCCATTGCGCTCTAGCGACTCCTTATGGTGGGCCGGGCGCCTGCAAGCTGACTTCGGTCGTCAGCTGGACAGTGATTCCTCCGACACATTTGTGCGGCTTGCTTCTGGGTTAAGCGGGCAGTGTGTCGAGAAGCAGTGCGGCTTGGCAGGGTCGTGTTTCGGAGGACGCATTGCTCTCGACCTTCGCCTCTCCCGAGTCCATAGGAGAGTTGCAGCGATGGGACAAGACTGTAACTACCAATTGGGGGGAGAAAAAGGGGTAAAAGTACCCCAAAAAATGAAAAAAAAAAAGCCCAGACTTGAATTAGTGTCTTAACCGTCCAGCTATACTCATTGATAGATGTTCGCCTACAGTACATACCGTAGAATAGTGTAATTTCTAGGAAGAAAGAGATAGGGCTACACTCCGAATCTGTCTGAGTATTTGGTTGCGTTCATTCTTGTTTTTGTTTTGGGTGATAGGTAGATACCCTGTTGAGAACATGGAACAGCAGCTATGACTGTATGATTCCAGCCAGGTCACCCGTAATACAAGTCAGTATTGGACGTCCATCCATGTCTGAGGACGTCGGGAGATGATGTGAAAACCGACCACTATGGGCAACAGTGAGCGCTGTTACCTTCAAGTAGGTTTCGGTTTTGCTAGGGCGATGGGGATGGTGGATGGGCGTAAGCATCTTCCTCTGATTCCAAAGGCTGCAAGTTCGAATCCAGCGATAGAAAGTAGTTTTTGAGATTTTTGTTTTAAGCCCATCTCAAACCTTAACCATTCAGAGTTAATACCTAACCTTAAGATTTCGGCGTTAATGCCTAAACTTAACCTTAAACACTTCGAAATGTGACATTTGCAACAACTTCAACATTTTACGTTTGAGAAACCGGAATGAATGTCTAATTCTGACATGAGACTGAGAAAAATTCAGAAGTAGACCATGTGCCACACTGTCTGTCTGTCTGTCTGTTTGTCTGTATCGCCAATTCGCTCTATTGGTCATACATGTGAATATAGGCTACATTTGTAACTCATGCTATTGGAACAAGAGTTGGAACAACAGTCAGTGCTCTTTCCGGTGCTTTCCAGACAGCTCTTGTGTCAGAAAAACAACAGCAAAGGAATTCAGTTTGTACTGTATATGTAAACATGCATCTCAACAAACACCCCCCCCCCCCCCCACACAGCCTGTGTCTAGCCTATTAGTTGGTTCCTAGATATTATTTATTTGGGAAACACAAGCTATAAAATCAATACCATAAATCCTCCAGTTTCTAGTGTTGTTTGATATTGGATGAGTCAAATCTTATATTAGGCTACATTCTATGTATTGCTTTCCTAATGAATTTAGGGGGTGGGGATATGTGTGTGTACTACTGTGAACCATTTCCAAGGTTTGTCTCTAGATATTTAGCTCTGTGTGAAGAGACAGTAGGACACCCAGGAGGAACAAGACAAATGAACCTCCTAGTCATGTTGATTTTCTCATCGTCATCCAGTCTTTAACAGGACTTACACAGGGAGAGGTGTTAGAGATGCTGGGGTGGTGGTGTGAGATTCACCCTGGTGCGACTTGCGCCTCTCCACATTCCAGGCATTCTGACCTCTGTGATGTTTAAGACGTTCTAGAATGTGAGACTGCATTCTAAATGCCTTTATGTTCCTGGGGGTCATGTGGGCTGAACAGAAAGTAGGACCCTCTAATTTAGGAGTCCTGGGAACGAGGACAAAGCTCAGAGCGTCTTAAGTTACAAACAATACTGGAGTGGAGTGATAGTGGTGGAGCTTAGTGATAGTGGTGGGGCTTGTTGAGTTTACCACTAAGAGCTTAAAGCCTGGCATTGTTTAAACTTTTACTGGCACCTCACACAGTAAAACACTTGATGGATTTAACCTAAAGTAATGGGTTAGAATCGATTGGAACCAATGGAGCATTACTGTGGAACCAATGGGACATAGGTTGATTACTGTCATTGCTTAAACTTTTTCTGGTACCACACACTTTTTGCCACGGGTCAGAGAGAAAATTATGCTGTTTTTATAGCTCATCTCATGCTATTGTTCATATTTTGCCATGAGGCTGAGAAAACATTTGGCAGTTTTAAAGCAATTTTCCTGCTATTCTACACATTTTGCCAATCCGGCTCTGGTACCACACATACAGTCAGAGACTTTAGCCAAGAAAATGGATTAGAATCGATGGGAACACTTGTAGCTTCCCACGGTGTCATAGACGTGTTATAGACGTGATGGAATTAGGGCTGTCAAAAATAGCGCGTTAACGACGTTAATTAGTTGTTTGCTGTTAATTACGTCAATTTTTTTAACGCATTTCAAGCATGCGCAGTGTGACAAATTATTCAGGTCAGGAAAGTGGTTGGGAGCTAGAGGCGAGATGGAGCAAGGTGAGCAAAGTGGGCCTATTGACGGATTCAAATATAAAAAGAATGATGATGGTACAGTTAACAAGTACAAGGTTATTTGCAAGATTTGTAAGAAGGAGTTTCAATTTCACCGGAGCTGTTCAAGCTTGAAGTACCATGTCAACGCCAAACATGCGTTTGCTGGGCCGTCAGATTCAGCAAGTGGTTTGCGCCAGACCACGCTGAATGTTTGCAGGCAATTAACAAAATCAACCTCAGATAATTTGACCAACACAATAGCAAAATGGATTGCAAAGGATTGTAGACCCATTAGCATTGTAGAAGACTCAGGTTTCCTTGATGTTTTGCAAGTGGCGTCTCAAGACTCATTCTATAAGCCACCGTCAAGAGCCACAGCCAAAGACAAATATTATGGTGTGTAGTATGTTTCAGCTTGATTTAAAACACCATTATTTGGCTGTGTTAATAAACAGACATAATATGAAAATTATGTATCTGTGTCCTGTTATTTATCTTTTGGTATGCATTTCAGAAAAAAAATGGTTAGGATTCAGGTGTAATTGCAAATAGTGATTAATCATGATTAATCCACTGAAAATTCTGATTAATTTGATTAAACATTTTAATCATTTGACAGCCCTAGATGGAATATATCCTATTAACTCCTAAACAACATGACATGAGGTGTTTACTGTAGACTTTCTATTCTAGTTTATCCTGCAGACAGACAGTTTGGTGATTCCTGAATCAGACATAATGCCAGCTCTGTTAGTTAGAGGAGAGGAAAGGAGAGGAGAGAAGAGGAAAGGGTTGAGAAGTGGAGGAGAGGAGAGGATTGCACCTTTTGGTTTTCACCGGTGGGTGTGAAGTATTTTCATCCTGACTCATGATCATTGAGCAACACCACAATCCACTATCAAATACCTGTTCCTAAAAAGTTTAATTCATTGCATTGATATGAATAAAGTTGTATTTCTTAATTCAACAGAGAAGACTGAATGGTGTAATGTTGAGGGTTTAAAGCCTGGAAAGTCTAGAAAGAAAATCTGTCTGTCGGACTTCTGTGTCTCAGTGTGTATTTGTAGTGAATCTGTGAACCCAGGTTGAGAAACCTGTTGGTGTTAAAATAAGTATACTGTAGGAAACACATTAAATAATGCCTTATCTTCATAACCTCCACTGTTACGTTCAGCTCCCTGAACCTCAGCTCAAGCACTGTATTTATGCTCTCAATAGCATTCCTTTGGGTTACAATGGTTATTGACTAACTTAAGAAGTTCAGACAAGAAACAGTACTGAGAATCGCCACAGTAAATACAAATCTGTTCACTATCAAGTTCTGATTTCTGCTTTCCTCTCTGCAGATCTTCCGTGCAATCTTGTGACACCAGGCTTCTGTGTACCAACCAACCATGTTGGATCTTTCCATTGCCTCCACAACCCATCAGTGACAACCACTAAACGTTTGTTTCGGACAAACATGTCAGCCTGCGGCGAGTTTGCAGAACACGTGTGGAAACCCGGATCGTGTAAGAACTGCTTCCACCCGCGTAGCGCCCACCGTGCCAGCGGGGGCAGCATAGTTTCCTGTGGTGCCCTGAGGGCCAGTCTGGATGGAGAGGAGGAGGATGGCCAGGGGGTAACCGTGCACTCACTCTATTCCAAACCCACCATCGCTGTCCGCCCTACCATGATGCACCCTGACACCAGCGACATGCTGGCAGACGTCAACATGAACATAGAGCAGGTGAGAACTCACTAACTCAAATACAGATTTGTGACAATGTATGCCTTTGCATTTTACCTGCCTATGTAATAACCATGTCAATATAGAATAAATACCCAATAGAAACCCATAGGTTTTAGAGTGACTTAATTCAAGTGATTCAATAATGACTGTATGTTTTCTATAACCATGAATTGTGTTTCCCCTCCATGTGTCACCAGGACAATCAGAAGAGTCCAGGGGACAGACTGGGCCTTAAGAAGATGTTGGACCTGTCCCCTATCTACATAGACAGTAATGGCTGTAACAAGGCCCTGAGAGAGGCAGTACTACACAGTACTGCAGCCCCTGGGAAGATGGACTACCCGTGCAACCGCTTCTCCCCTGGACCTCTAAGCCCCCATTCCCCTCTGTCCCCGTCTGCCCTGCAGAAGGACTCTAGTATGATCATCAGCAGTATCTTTGTGACCCAGGAGGATGGCCACGGCCGGGGGCCTCATACTGCCTACAGTCTGAAGGAAAATGGGAATAGCAACGGTGAATTCTCCTACAGGCAACAAATCACCAAGAATACCAAAACCACCAAGAGCACTTACAATGGGAATGGCATCGGCATGGTGACCACCACTAGAGGGTCTTCCAAAGTCCATGCCATCCAGGAAGTACAAGCACCTCTGGGTATTGCTATCAACGTCATTGCCACGGCAACCACAACAGCCGGTAACGGCATCGGTAACGGTCTGAGCACCACCACAGCCACCCCAAGTAACGGCCTCACGTCTGATACCACAGACCCGTCCAGCACTTCTCTCGTCCCAGCCTTAACCACCCTGGGCTCAGGGGCCTCTCCGGGCCCACTAGGGCCCAACATCCAACCCTGTGGAGGTGGCAGAACCAACTCCTTCCTCTCTGAGCCTGTCTCCAGCCTGTCTCTGTCAGACTCCTGCTCCTACCGCAGCAGCACAGACTCCCTCACAGGACTGCTGGGGCCAGATAATCCCACTCCTCAGAGCCACTCAGCCTCCTCAGCCAGCCCTCCCTCAGATGGACAGACGACATCGTCAGAGCCCATCTATGCTGAGAGCACCAAGAGGAAGAGGAGGCCTCAGAGCGCTGGGGGGAATGGGAAGCCTCAACCCCCCCAGCCCCAGGCCCAAAAGCAATGCTCAGAGCTGGAGCTCACAGGAGAGGGTCAGAACCAGAGGGCAAAGATAACCGTCATGGCCGCCCATACTGAGGAGAACAATCGGACGTTCTACCTGAGCAGTCCGGACTCAGCCGTCAGCACCCAGTGGCCTCATTTCAGCCCCACGGCCCTCAGCAACCCTGGGAGTCCAGCCTTCAAGTGGCCCTCTAGCTCCTCTGTCACGGAGACATCCTCCACATCATCCCCAGCCTCCCCTGCCTCCCTCCAGCCCAAACCCCAGAACAGCCCCCCAATCCCTCCCAAGAGGAACAACCGTTCCCCCAAACCACTCCTCGGGACCTCTAGTCTCTCCCCAGTCCCTCTCCCTGAGCTCAGCATCCAGGGAATCCAGGCTCTGTCTCTATCCCCCAGGGAGAGGGACGTCCAGGTGCAGGTGAAGCCCCATATGGAGCCCCACAACTCAGTCTCATCGGAGGCCCGGAGGCACAAGCTCCACACCACCGCCTGGAACTGGGAGGGCCGGATCGAGGAGGAGGAGGAGGGGGAGACGGAGGAGGGCCATGCCCAGGAGAGTGCCTCTCGGAGCAGGGTGATGGGGCTCATCAATGGGGCGGCTGTCTGGAGAGAGGCCAGGGATTGGAGACCCGCTGGGGGGACGCAGGGCAGTGACGGCCAGCAGGGCAGCACCCAGACCCTGCCAGGCACCGTGGCCAACAATGGTGCCAGTCAGAAACTGAATCAGGCAGGCTGCAGCGGCGGCAGCGTGGAGGAGGGCAAACATAGCAGGAGCATGTTGGCTAAAACGCCGCCGTTGACTCCATCGTCTCTCTCCAGCACGGTGCAGCTCTCAGCAGAGGGGAAGAGTTCAAGCCAGGGCCCCATTCCTCCACCCCCTCCGCCTAAGAAACACCACAGGTAAGAAAATAGGCCTGGGACTTTTGTTTTTACACACTCTATGAGCTATGGCATATGGGCTATGGATGGCATTCCTGAGAGGGTAGAATGAAGAGCAGTCATTGTACTGTAGAAGTAGCTTAACTCATCTTTGTCGTTGAATCACTATTTTGTAATGTACGGTACCTGTATTATTTCACTCACACTGAGAATTGAGCTATGGATGGTATTCCTGAGAGTGTAGAATGAATGATGGTGAGTCTGAAACAGCAAGGCCATGGCCATACAGTATTGTCATTGAGTTCAGTGTTCAGTGATTTGAGTTGGAAATAGATGGCTTGCTTCATATTGATGAGAGACAACATTTTATGCAAACGTGATTCTTAATTTATGAGTTCAGATAGGTATTTGTTTTATTTCCACTCTGTTATTTTCTTTCTAGCTTTTAATGCTCCTCACTTAACCAATGCACTGCTTGGTTCAGGCATAGTAGTAGTACAGCATGCCAGACAGACCATAGAATCAAGTGCAATTCTTTGTAGCACTACAGTAATGAAACTCATTCATCATTAGACAGTACATAAGTTAAGTAACGCAAGGGCATTAGCACTTACTTTATGTAGTGTAGACATTTTAAATGTCCCTTGTACTCTAAAAGGTTTTTGCTGTTTGATAATTAACTATTCACTTGTCAGACTATTTTGGGATTGTCAACACAAATGAATAGTGCTCCTAATCAGCTGACTAGAGAGGTCTGTTGTAGCAGCCATGTGGTTGGTTCTCTCTCTGTGTGTGATGGTTAAACGATGCTCCCTTGTCTTGTCTTGTGCAGTGATGCAAGGCGAGGGAGGCGACTGTACCTACTGTGATCTCTCCTTTCATAGTAAGATTATTCAGCCGGTATAAGCCTCCATTCTCATTCTAGAACCCTTAGGATCATTCAGACTGTTCCGGAACCAGTCTCAATGCATTCCTTGTTCCATTTGTAGTAGTCTAAGGCTGGGGTTACACAATGCAACTTGCACACAATTTTAGTTGCTTGCAACTGAGTTGCTTCTTGAGTGCTGCGTGAAACACCGCATGCAACTAATAAGCAACTCATCTGCAAGGTGGTTGCATCCAGTTGAAACTTTTCAACTTTGTGCAACAGCCAATCAAAACGTATGCTTTTGTCACATGATCCATTCGAAGGTTCGGAACACCGGCCCAGTTGTCATGTCAACAACACAGCCAAATACAGTACATTATGAAGATGGGCAGAAACTGCTTCTCCAATAGAAATCCCAGATCACACTTGTAGGTGATGTCATGGCGATGTTAGTTAGCTAAGCTCATGCATAGAAACACATCATCGGGTCTAACAGTCTTCTCGCGCCAAACTGCACATGTGCAGACTGTCAAATCAAAGGCACTCCTTCAATATAAAGTAGTTTTTCACGAAAATGAAAACGTGTCAGCTTGTCACTTTCACGAGGTTGGAGTAACAACATGTTCAACTACTTAAGACATTGGCTCAAATCTAAGTTGTGCCTAGATTTCAAGAAAATTTACAACTAAGGAAGAATGTTTCACTTCTCTCATTGACTTCTCAAACCCAGCCTGGTCTGCTTGGTCTGTTTCGCAAGCGTTCCCGGATGTTGATGCTAACACAAAAGCTATAGGCCCATTAATTTTCATTGCAGCCCCGTTTGAACACAGAGTTACGCTAACTCCGTATTCACAATGTACTCACAATGTACAAGGCCTAATGCAGCAGGTGACATGGGTGAGTTTAGAATTCTCAAACAATATGACAGAAGCAGCTTCAATTTAATGTGGCTGTTGCATGCTATTTTAATCGTGTTTGAGTTGCTTCATGTAACAGCAAAGTTGTTTGAGATGGTGTCACTTGCAACCTAAAACTGCAACTAAAATTGCGTGCAAGTTGAGTCGAGTAACTGCAGCCTAAATTTTCATTCTAATTTCAAGAACAAAATGGGCAGTAAAAATGTTCTCTGTCACATTCTAAATTTGTTTTGGCCACCACACAATAGATGGGACTGGGAAAAAGAGGGTCCTTGTGCCTTGTCCCATGACACTGACAGGCACACACAAAGACAACATTGTCAATTATCTGCATGTAACTAACTAAGATGTTGATATGTTATTATGCATCTAACTAAGATGTGAATATGCATTTAACTAAGCTCTAATTCAAATTGTCATGAAACTAATCAATGTTTCTAACATTGGTAATAGCTAGTTGTGACCTACCTATGAAACAAATACAGTGACATGGCTATATCATGGCTGTATAAAATAACCAAGCTGTTGAACTCTAGTGACATTTCCCCATGTACTATTTAGACCACAGGGCCTCAGATTATTAATACACGTTGAGGTTTCTGACTCATAAACCCAAAACAGAATGAGACATAGTTCGCCGCCATGTTGACGTCAAATGGTCATTTTAAAATAAACCTTGCTTTGTCGGGTATGTTGTAGGTTTAGAATACAATTGTCAATTCCTCAAGTCCTTGCAGAGTTAAGAGCAGAGCAGCTTCAGGTGTTTGGTCAACAAGACTGTGCTGGTTCTCTGCTGGTTTTCTGTGTAGATCACGATCTCTGCATCTAATTTCTACGTTTTAAACTGCAGGGAAGCTGTAGTGGTGTTAATTGTGTATTCATATAGAAGTGTGTTAAAATGTGTCAAACCTATACAGTATTAGGCTAAGTTATTGGGGAGCAAGGTCATTGAGGTATCAAGATGATCCCAAACACTTTTCTCCTCTTAATTATTTGGCAACTTAAAGTTTGACATTTGAAACTCTTCAATATGAAACAAATTAGTCTCAGCAGCAGCTCTTGTTTTGGCTGGCTGTAGGGAGCTCTAGAACCCCTGTTGCTGATTGCATTTCCCAGACCCTTATTTTTGTTGTAATACTAGTAAGCTGATGCATCTCTCTCATTATATTATGACATTGCTAGCATGCTGCTATTGATAAAAATACACTTTCTAGAGACGCATGTGGGAACATGCCTTGCCCTAGCGACCGTCATGCTTTCGGGTTCTTATTTGTTTTCCTAGAGCTTAACTGCTATAGCGCACACTAGGACTAGGCATGAACTGCCACGCCAGAAGCTTCCAGTGTTTAAAACAACAAATGCCTCAGAGTCACATTAACCCTCACATAGACTTTACAGTGAACTTTCCCTAAATAATGACGTAGTAAAACTCTTTGTCAGCTTCACAAGATCTCTCCTCTCTGTTTTCTGCTAAGAAATAGCCAGATGACAACAGATTCAACTTCACAGCTCACAGTTCACACAATATAACTCTGGAAACATCTTGAACAGACTTTAATCCCATAGAGACAAAGTGTTTAGAAAGCATTTGAGAAGAGTGTAACACAGGTAAGTGGAAGACAAACAGACAGTTTGTGCATCCCAAATGGCCCTTTATTCCCTACACTTTTGACCAGGGCCCATGGGGAATAGGGTGCCATTTGAGACACATCCAGTGATGTTTGCACAGGGCTGAGAAGGAGGAAAACAGGCAAACCAACCAAACCCTGATGAGGCAGCATTTTTATGTGATGAATCATTAAAGAACCAGATGGTTGAGAAGTCTGTCCTTCTCATGACGGGCATCATCATCTCAGTTCTTTGATCACTGTGAGGAACCAAACAAACGTCCTCACTGGGAGGTCCTTGTGTGAGGTGATACTTTTGATGCAGTCCTTTTATCCTTAGTGGGTCGTTCCATGTCATTTCCGCAAGCCATGATACCCACCATCTCAGATTGTTCTAAAATTGTTTCTGAAACATTATTTTGTTGAAATACAATTTTATCTTTGAGGAATTAAGATAACTGATTAAACCCAAATTGGCCATTTTAATTTATAGGATTCATATAATATTCAGTAAATATATAGTACCGTACATCCAGTTTGGACCAAACTAACAATGAGTAAGACATGAGGAATCCAAAGAGATTGTTAAAAGCCACCCACGGACCCGCCATACCAATCGTATACCAGAGTATTTATTTTCATCCTAAGTAATGTATTCTCAGTGAATTTGGTGATGTTTCCCTGTTCAGAGAAACTAGTCATTGAAGTTGGTAGGTTTATGTCCCATCCTACATCCTGATATTACCAGGTTCTGACCACTAGATGGAGCTGTTCCTGCTATTAGGGGATTTGTTTTTAATAATCCCCACCCCCCTCAATGTTAAAGGAATAGTTCAACCAAATTACAAAATGACATATTAGTTTCCTTACCCTGTAATCAGTCTATGGACAAGGTAGGACAGCAACCCATGCTTTGGTTTTGTTTACCTGGCCACTGTTTCAAATGCTAACGTTTTAGCATTTGTGGCACAAATCCAATGCAAGTCAATGGTACCTATATTAGCATATCCAAATCATCTATAAGTCACATCATTGAGTTACACAAAACATTTTTTGATACTTTAGGATGATTTGAACATGAAGCTTGAAAATGCTATTATACATACCATTGTCTTGTATTGGATTTGTGCCACAAATGCTAAAAAATTAGCATTTGAAACAGTGGCCAACAAAAACAAAGCATGGGTTGCTGTCATACCTTGTCAATAAACTGCTTACAGGGTAAAGAAACCAATGCCATTTTGTAATTTGGGTGAACTATCTCTATAACATTGAGCGGGGGGGCGGGGTTTGCTCTTCAAACATTTTCCAAATCAGATGTTAGGTACTATATTTATTGAATATTATATGAATTCTATTATTTAAAATGGCCAATTTGGATGCAATCAATTAGCTTAATTTCTCAGAGATCAAATTATATTTCAACAAAATAATGTTGCAGGAATGCTAATCTTATGTTTCTAACAACAGAAACGATTTCAGAACAGTCTGAGATGGTGGGTGTTGAAATCTTCATTCTTGTGTTTTTTGAGGTGGAACGACCCTAGTGACAGTTGGTCCAAACCGTTGTGTGTGTGTGGCCTACCTTCCTACCCCCATCAGTCCTGTGTGTGTATTATGGGATGGGGGTGTG